CTTCAGTAGCTGAATGCCCATGAGCATAGGTCCAGTCTTGGAAAGACATACAGGAAAATAAAAGTGGAACTCAACTAGTATAGTGAGCAGCACAATAGCCATCACACTTGTACAAATACTGAATTAGTTAGGGAACAGAGGAAGACATTTCAAAGTTTAAATGGATGTTGTAATACTAAAGATGTGACTAGCTGTGTAAAGGATCTACAGAGGGTAATGCATGTTGTCAGTTAATGGAAGACCGTTCATTTTGTTAACTAAAGGTGCAGTGAACTTTCGTATGACACATGTAAGAGATCGTATAGGGGAGATCACAGTGCTATCTTCATGTACTGCCTGCATTCCGCTCCAAATGAATTTTCTGTAGTATAATTCCTTTCCATTTTTCTTGGCAAGGTTTGTTTTTGTGTTTGTAAAGAGTTGAGGTTTGACATACATTGAAGGCTTTATCAGCTACATTTTTAAAGAGTTTGGTGCCAGAAGACACTGTCTCATCATGCAGTACCCAGGTATATTTATTGACTTACTTGGTGTTTTGCTTAGATACCTGAGATTCTTACCACGACATCTTTCAACTCTAAATCTTATTTATGTTAATTACTGCTTTTGTATACTCTGCAAAAGAATGTAATTTATCATGTATGGTTTGTGCTTGCAAGCTTCTGCTCACCTATATATAATTCAGTTGATTTTTTAAATATATACAGGAGTTACCGTGTTTGCATAAATTCTAGTTTTTGAAGATGAGTAAAAACATTTACTGTTCACTCAGTTTCAAATTTAAAAATAGCCTTGATTTGAATACTCCCCAGTATTCCTCATTCAGGACTTGAATCTTAAATCTCACTTATGTTCTTCCTTTGTAAATGGATGCATGTCATCAGGCTGTTCTTTCTGTTGTCACAACTGTAGGATACTCTCCTATTTCTCCCCTTAAGAGTAGATGCAACTGCAGCGTGAAGCAACGCTACAGTGTGGTGCTGGAGCAGAGAGAGAGGGTCCTGCTGTGTGAATGGTGCAC